TGTTGAGGCCTCGCTCTGCCCCGGGGCCTGGGAATCGCAGGATAGGAGCTGAAGACACAGACCGCTGAGTCGGGGGGGGGGCTGGAAGGGGCGTGTCAGAGGGCGGAGCTACCAAGGAAGGGGTGGAGCCTGGCATGGAGCAGGAGGCTGATGGAGCATGTGGTCCCGCTTCCCTCGGGCGGGGAGGCTGCGGATGCCAGGCCTGAGAGCCCTGTGGCCCTTGCTCTGTTGCTCACAGCCATCCAGAGCGTGCTGTGCGGAGGAGACGCCCTGACGCCAACCAAGACGGGGGCAGTGGGGTCTGCCAAGCTGACGCTCCACAAGAACGGGACGCTGGAGTACCAGGTAGGGAGGGCTGTGCTGGGGCAAGGTGGGCTTGGGAGAAGCCCACGTGAGCACCTTGGTCCTTCCCTGTGGCCCTTGCTCTGTTGCTCACAGCCATCCAGAGCGTGCTGTGCGGAGGAGACGCCCTGACGCCAACCAAGACGGGGGCAGTGGGGTCTGCCAAGCTGACGCTCCACAAGAACGGGACGCTGGAGTACCAGGTAGGGAGGGCTGTGCTGGGGCAAGGTGGGCTTGGGAGAAGCCCACGTGAGCACCTTGGTCCTTGGCGCTTGCCACCCCGGGTCCCAGTCCCAGTGAGCAACAGCACTTTGGTCCTTGGCGCTTGCCACCCCGGGGCCCAGTCCCAGTGAGCAACGAGGGCACGGCTGCTAGCTCCGAGGGGACCCCGGGGCGGGAGCACCCACCGGGGGCAGGGCAGAGAGAGCTCAGCACCCACCAGCCACAGCTGTTCCCCACCCCTGCTCCTCAGCTGGTCGGCAGCTTCAAGGGGGGGCAGAGAGCAGTGGATGGGTGGGAGCCTCAGGAGGGGCGCAGAGCTGGGAGTGGGAAGAAATGGAGCAAGGGCAGGTCCTTGGAGGAGGAGGCGGAGCAAGGGCAGGTCCTTGGAGGAGGAGGCGGAGCAAGGGCAGGTCCTTGGAGGAGGAGGCGGAGCAAGGGCAGGTCCTTGGAGGAGGAGGCGGAGCAAGGGCAGGTCCTTGGAGGAGGAGGCGGAGCAAGGGCAGGTCCTTGGGGGGGCAGGGCAGAGAGAGCTCAGCACCCACCAGCCACAGCTGTTCCCCACCCCTGCTCCTCAGCTGGTCGGCAGCTTCAAGGGGGGGCAGAGAGCAGTGGATGGGTGGGAGCCTCAGGAGGGGCGCAGAGCTGGGAGTGGGAAGAGCCAAGCAAGGGCAGGTCCTTGGGGGAGGGGGCGGAGCTGGGGCAGGGCCTTGGAGGAGGAGGCGGAGCTGTGGCAGGAGGAGGCAGAATGAAGGTGGGGCCATGGGAGAAGCTGGTGGGTTGAGCACTCTGGGACAGTCGGCACTTGTGAAGGAGACCGTGGCCCCGGGCACCTGTCCACATCTCTCTGGGAGCTGGGACGCTGCTCTCCTGCAGGCTGGGAACCCCAGGCAGACCAGCCACCGGGACAGGGAGCCAGGACTCCTGGGTTCTGTTTCCAGCCCTGGAACAGGAGTGTGGTCTAGTGGTTGCAGCAGCAAGTCTAGGGGCGGAGTCTGGGCATCAGGACCCTTCCCGTCTCTGTCCTGAAGCCTGGTTTCCCCATGACACAGGGCTGGTGGCCCTGTCCCTGCAAGGGGGCTGCAGGGTTAATGGGGGTGTTGTGCTGTGAATGGGCAGTCGGGCACAGCGCTGAGAGCTGGTAATGAGGTCACACTGGGTCTAGTGGTTGCAGCAGCAAGTCTAGGGGCGGAGTCTGGGCATCAGGACCCTTCCCGTCTCTGTCCTGAAGCCTGGTTTCCCCATGACACAGGGCTGGTGGCCCTGTCCCTGCAAGGGGGCTGCAGGGTTAATGGGGGTGTTGTGCTGTGAATGGGCAGTCGGGCACAGCGCTGAGAGCTGGTAATGAGGTCACACTGGGGAGACTACACTCGGGGAGAGCTGCAGGCACAGAGGGGTTGACTTTTCCCAGGGAACTAGACAGACCCTCTCTGGGGTGCTGCCCCCTCCCCGTGTCTCCCCGCAGGTCCAGGTAGCAGGGACAGCGAGCGAGGTCCTCAGCGTCACCCTGGAGACCAAGCCGCGGAGGAAGAACAAACGCAACATCCTGCTGGACATGACGCCCAGCTACAGGGAGGGGCTGGTGAGTGCCCACCAGGGAGAGCCTGGGGCAGATGGGAATGCAGGGGGCCATGGCTAGACCCCCCCATGGAGGATGATTGCCGAGAGGCCTTTGTCCAGTCTAAGGGACCAGATCCTGGTGCGCTGGCTGAGAGCCCCACATATGGGCCCACGCCTCACCCTTTGGATTCCCTCCAGTCCGCTTGGGCTGCTCCTCTCCGTTCCCTTCCATTTGCCTCATAACGGGGGGCCCAGAGCAGCTGTGTCTGGCGGAGAGACCTTCTCCTTCCTCTGCACTGTCCCCCCAGCCCCTGGGTCTGTCACCCCAAACCACACTGCCTGTTTTGGGGGACTGTGCCTCATGGCTTCAGGCCTGCTCCCTTGGCCTGTCCGGGCCGGAGCCTTTCCTCCTGCTTGCCCCCAGAAGCTGTCTGGGCCACGAAGAGGAGTAACTATAGACGGACTTATGTACGGGACACATTCCTTCCTGACCCTGGACAGCTAGGGGTTGCCCTCATGCCCTGGAGCCTGAGCATGTCTATCCCACCTAGCAAGTGTTTCACCTGCTCTTCTGTAGCTGGAGATATTCTCCTTACTAGGGCCCTACCAAATTCACCCTCCATTCTGGTCAGTTGCAGTCACAGGATTGTAACAATTGCAATGTCGTCATTTCAGCTGTTGAAATCTGAACGGTCACAGTGGTGTCACGATAGGGTACTGACCCAAACGGGCGTTGTGGGGGATTGCAAGGCTATTGGAGGGGGTGGTGCTGCTACCCCCCTTCCTTCTGCGCTGCTGCTGACAGCAGGGCCACCTTCAGAGCTGGGTGGCCAGAGAGCGCTGGCTGCTGACAGGGAGCCCGGCTCTGAAGGCAGAGCCACTGCCAGCAGCAGGGCAGAACGAAGCGTGGCAGGATACGATATTCCAACCCTTGCCTCTGTGCTGTTGCCTGCAGAGCTGGGCTCTGTGTCAGCAGCTGCCACTCTCCAGTTGTCAGCTCTGAAGGCAGCAGCGCAGGAGGAAGGATGGGATGGTACGGTATTGCCACCCTCGCTTCTGTGCTGCAGCTCGTGGGCACTGCCTTCAGAGCCCGGTGCCTGGCCAGCAGCTGCCACCTGCTGGCCACCTCTCTCCGAAGACAGCAGTGCAGCAGTAAGGGGGGGGCAGGACTGCAGCCTCCCCACCCCCAAAAAAACCTTACAACTCTCCCATCTCTCTCTTTTGGGTCAGTTTGAGAAATGCTGGTCTCCCCCTGTGAGATCAGTACAGGATAGGGCCAGATTTCCCCAGAGGAGACCAGATTTCCCGATCTGTGATGTGTTTTTCACAGCTGTGATTTTGATAGGACCCTACTCATTACCCACACCCCGCTCTGAATCCAACTGAGTCCTTGGCTTCCGGAGTGCCTGGGGAACTCCTCGCCACAAGATTAATCAGGTGCCTAGTACAATCATATTCCCGTGGCTCAGTGTTAGACCATTTTGTCCTTCAGATTTAATGAATGTCCCTTCCCTTTCACCCTTGTATTAGAGGATTTACTGTCCCCCCTCTCTCCTGCCTTCCATTTGTGCCTCTTTATCACGATTCTTCTCTAAACAGTCCCAGACTTCTCGGTGCTCATTGGCCACTGGAATTCCCAGGCAGGCTGCTGAGCCATTGTGTCACCTGCCTCTGGGCCCTGCTGCTCCTGCTCACTGCTGGGAGGTGAGGGGTGCAGCGCTGAGCACAAGAGGCCAGGTGGGGCAGCAGTGAGATGAGCTGGCAGCATTGATTCAATAGGGTCTGGCCGCCTTCCGTGTAAAATCACTAGCGGCTGCGAAGTCCCCTCTTTGTCCCACGCTACGTGGCCGAGCTGGGGCGGGCACACTCTGCACACTGGCATCAAATCTGCCTCTGCTCGTGCAGCCAGAGCAGCAGCCATGCTGGGAAAGCAAAGGGGTTGGCTTCAAAGAGATTTGGGGTCAATCTCTGTCGTTTAACCCAGCTCCATCACACGCCCCATGGACTGTTATGAGAAGACAGCCAGCTGCTGTGGCTAGTTGAGCGTATTACATGCCCAGCCCCTTTCTCCAGCCTCCCATAAGATCTCTAAGGCAGGGCCCGGGCTGCCTCAGTGTGTGTGGAGTGTCAGCCCCTGCCTCAGCAGAATTTAAACCTGGGACCTTCAGCACCACAGTACAGCCACCAATCGCTTGAGCTAAAGGGGCAGCTCCATTACTTGCTAGCAGCAGTAGATTGTTACCCAGTAGTGGCACAGCCCTTGGAGCTGGCTGGGAGAGGCACTTTGGATGGGTTAATGAGTGGGTAGGCCACATTCATTCAGTGTCATGCTCTGTCTCCCTCTAGTGGTGACTGGCCACATGGCGGTTGATGCATATGGGCTAAGAAGGGGCTCTTTTGGTTCTGGCAGGAGCAGATCCAGAGGTCTGAGGTTCGATCCCCACTGCCCATGTCCCACCCAGGGGTGGCAGTGTTATGCGAGTGCTACTGCGAGTAGCGCCTCCCCCAGGCAAGCATGTTAATCTCTCTCTTCCCCCACCCCTGCCAGGCCAGCGGGATCTGGCAGCACATGAATGCCCGGGACACCCACATGTTACTGCAGAGCGAGCTCTTCCTCAATGTGGCCACCAAGGACTTTGAGGAGGGGGAAGTGCGGGGACAGATCCGCTCCCTGCTGTACAGCGGCCTCCTGGCACGATATACAGGTACCTGCTGCTGGGATGGGCCAGCCCCAGGGAAGAGGTGGGTGGGTCTCTGTAGTGGGCACTGCATGGGCATTCCCTGTGAATCAGGAGCTCGGGGGGCTGACCCCAGGGATTGGGGAGTGGGCGGGTGGCTCCTTGCAAGCCCAGCTGGAAGCATGTGTCTGACCTGTGCCCCTTGTGCCCAGAGCTGCCCGTGCCCCTGGCTGGCCAGCTGGTGTCTCCCCCTGTGCGGACCAGCTCGGCAGGACACGCCTGGGTCTCCCTGGACGAGCACTGCCACCTGCACTATGAGATCGTGGTGGGCGGGCTCGGCAAGGTGGACGACGTCGCCATCAGCGCCCACCTGCACGGCGTGGCCGAGCTGGGCGAGCGCCGCCA